CAGCTGCCTTGCTTCAAAGTCTCGGTATTTATGAATGAAACTGCTATAAACACCCATGTGTGAGTTCTGTGTAGACATAAATGTTCAGATCCGCATAGTGAGGTATGCTCAGTTTTGTAAGAAATCGCTGACTGTCCTCCACAGTGGCCGTCGCATCCTGCATCCCTCCAGCGGTGAACAGGAGTTTCTGCTGCTCTCCATCCTCCTAGTGCTCCATCCTAGTAGTTGAGTGTTATCTCACTGCTGTCTTAATGTGCACTTAATGGTCTGACATGGGCATCTTTTTATATGCTTATATAACTTCTTTGACAAGGCAGCTGTTAAGGGCTTCATTTCTTTAAAAAAAAAAATGGGTTGTTTGTGTAATAACAATAGTTGGGTTTTAGCAGTTGTTTGTGTATTTAGAGAATAATGTCTCCGCAGGTATCTCTGTGAATATGTTTCTCCAGTCTGTGATTTGCTTTTCATCTCTTGACAATGTCTTTGCTAATAACCAAACTTTTAAATTTTAATGAAGTCCTGGTCACCATGGTTTTCTTTCATCACTTGTGCCTTTGATGCCTTAACTAAAGAGTCACAGTTAAATCCAAGCTCATCTAGCTTTATTCCTGTTTTCTTCTAGTTTTACAGTATTGCTGCTGTGATTCATTTTGAATCAATTTTTAAGAAGAGTGTATGATTTTTATCTACATTCAATTTTTTCTTCTCTCTCTCTCTCTCTCTCTCTCTCTCTGGTTTGTGGATGTCTACTTTCCGTACCATTTGTTGGAAAGACTATCTTTCCCCTATTACATTATGTTTGCACCTTTGCCAAACTGTATTTACATGGTTCTGTCTTTTTGTTTGGTTCCATCAGTCTGTCTACCTACTCTCACTAATAAATGTCTTGATTATTGTCACTTTAAGTCTTGATGTCAAAAAATGTTAATTCTCTAATTTTCCCTTCTCCTTCAAGACTACGTTGTCTATTCTGAGAGCTGTTTTGCCTTTCAACATAAACTTTAGTGTCAGTTTGTCAATATCTGTACAATAAATTTCTGAGATTTTGACTGAGATTGTGCTGAATCCTATTAGTAGATCTAGCCATATCAAGGAGAACTGACATCCTGAGTCTTCCTGTGCATGACCCGTTGTTAATTATTGTTTCAATATCTTTGATAGCGATGGGCATAAAAATTGCATATTTTTTTCCTGTGTAAGTTTTAGCAGATTGTATTTTTCATGGAATTGGTCTACTTTACCTAAGTCATCAAACTCACAGGCACTGACTGTTCATAGTTTTGCATTATTGTTTTAATACCCTTGGGCTATGTATTTTTTTCACTTCTGGTATTTGTAATGTGTGTCCTATCATTTGTTTCTTAGCCTGATTTGAGATTATTAATTTTATTTACCATTCCCAAATCCAGCTTTTGGCTTTGTTAATTTTCCCTATTGATTTCTTTTTTTCAATTTTATTGGTTTCTGCTCTAATTTCTATTATTTCTTTTCTTCTTCTCATATTGGCCTTGATTTGTTCTTCCGTTTCCAGTTTCACAGTCATGAAGTTGAGACTATGACTCAGGATTTCCTTTATAATGCACAAGTTTAATACTATAAACTTACTCTAAGGACTGCTTCAGTTTAACCCACAAATTTGGATAAATTGCATTTTCATTTTCTTAAAAATTTAAAAATGTTTTCTTGTGATTTCTTTAACATGGGTATTAATAGTGTCACTTAACCTTCAGATTTTTGAGGATTTTTCTAGCTATATTTCTGTTACTGACCTGTTTGATTCCATTGTGTCTGTTTTGTTTTGTTCTGCTTGTTTTTTGTTTGGTACTGTCTTGAGTTCTTCTAGCCTTGTTAGGGATTGTTACATGGCCCACACTGTGGTCTAGCCTGGTGGACTTTCCCCAGGAGTTTAAGAACAATGTGCGCTCTCCTGCTGTGGGGTGAAGTTTCCTACAGATGTCAATTATACCCAGTTGGTCAGTGATGCTTCTCACTTGGGATGTGTCTTTACTGGTCATATCTGACAAAGGAGTCTGGAGTCTCTGCTGTGACAGTGAGCTCAGATGCTCCTCCCAGCACATCTATCAGTTTTTATTTCTCCTTTATTTGAAGGACAATGTCATAGAATTCTAGGTTGCTGACTTTAAATAGTTCATTCACGCTATTCTCTTATTTGTTTCTTCTCTGAGATGTTGGTTTTATTTTTGCTCTCTCTAGGTAAGCTGGACTCCTCATTACTCTGGGAATATTTTTCTTTAATCTTTGTTTTTCTGTAGGTTGGAAATAGTTCTCTTAGGTATAATTTTTTGTTTGGTTGACTTTTTTTGTTTTGTTTTGGGAAGTTCTTTTTGTCAATTACTTTGCTTGCTGTTCTCTAAGTTTCCTGAATCTGATTTGCTGTTTGCCATTAATCTGGAGAAACTCTAAGTTATTGTTTTAAATTCATTAATTTTCTCTCTCTCTCCTCCCAATAATCCCCTTATGCACATTTATACCTTTTGTAGTTGTCCTATAATACTTGAATTTTTAAAAAAATCTGTCTGATTTTTTTATGTTCCATTGATATACTGTATCTCATGCTCCGCCATTTTTCCCAAAGCTGGTCCAGTCTATTAATAAGCCCACCAGAGACCTTCATTTCTGTGATGTTCTTGATCATTAGCCTTTCTTTCCAGTTCCTTCTACATATTTCCATCGCTCTGCCCACAATGCCCACCTATTCTTGTGTAATGTCTATTCTATCCCTTATGGACCATGGCATACTAATCACAAGTGTTCTCAACTTTTGTCTGATAATTCCAGCATCTCTGACAATTCTTGCTGTGATGTGCTTGCTCTATCTCATTAAACCATATTTTCTGATTTTTAGTATTCTTTGTAGTTTTCTACAAAGTGATACATGATTTTCTGGGTAAAGAGAACTGCCATAAATAGGTCTTTAGTAAGACAGAGACATGCAGAGCATCTCAGAAAGGGGAGCATCTTTGCATTCTGAGTTAGGTCTCAGCCACAGATCTTTCAGTCTCTTTGTCCTGGTGGGGCTGCCTACTGGGCTGGGAGTGGTTATTTCCCTTTCACAGGTCAGTGGGGCTCCAGTGACAGCCAGGCAGTCACCCTCCACTTTCTTAGCTCTTCCTTGGGGCCTGGAGCTCTAGAATGTTTTAGAAAGTCCCTTTCCCCCTTTCCTCTGTTGAAGAATGGAGTGCTTTTGCTCTGACATTTATTCCAAGAATCTATCTAATCCTCTAAAGATGAAACAAAAATGTGGCAGCCACCCCATCTGGGGTTCCCTGGCCCTGAGGACCTGTCCATCCCTGGGCTGCAGTGATCTGTCAGGTCTGGTCAGCTACTCCCGTCCCAGTGCTGCTGACCAGGGGTTTTGCTTCACTGAGTCTCCGTGTCCACTCTCTGGAGCACTAGTGCCTCTCGGGACCTCGCTTCTCCTACAGATCTAAGAAGAGCCGTTGGCCGTTTAGTTTGTTCAGCTTTTTACAACCTCCTTCCATGTGGACACAAAAACTGGACGACAGTATTTTTCCATTATAAAAATGCTATCTGACTGCACCTTTATCTTCAAGTCTGAATCTCCAGAAACAATTTTAATGTTATATTCTCTAGATTGAAAGAACAAAGGAAAGAGAATATTGTTTTAGAAATGATTTATTTGCTTAAGCTGGGCATAGTACTGCACACCTGTAATTCTAGCACTTAGGAGGCTGAGGCAGGAGGATCGCTGAGAGTTCTAGGCCAGCCTGGGCTACATAGTGAGCTCAAAGTCAGTCTGAATAGCACAGAGAAACCCTGTCTCAAAAAACCAAAAAAAAAAAAAGCTCATCTCTCAGCATTTATAGTTTCATTTAGACATTCATGAAAGTTGTGGCAGATGACTTTTGAAGACTAGAACTTCTTTATTTTCTTCTTGGCTCTAAAGGCATTTTAAACTTTTTTTGTACCAATGCTAGATAAACAGATCTACTACAGATTAATCTTTCGCCACCCAATGTGTCGACTCCTCTGTGTGAAAATGCCCATTACTATAATCAAGAGGGACTAGAAACTCTCCACTGAGATATTACAATTAACTTGAAGGTCAATCCCACAGCTAGAAGGTCAGCCAGTTTCAAGCAGAAGTAAAGCCTGAGCAGGACTCTGAGGCTGCCACTTATTTTACTGGACAACCAGGAAGAAAAGCCCTCCTCCAGGATCTACTTGTGGAATGCATTATTCTTTGTTTCCTGCTGTTTGTAGATCATTGATCAAAAAAATCAATGACTCAACCTTAAAGAATAGTAGTCTGTAGTGGAGAAAAGACTTCTCCTTTAGAAGTGACTTTACATAAAAAGAATCTATTGTTTCTCTTCTAACAGGATGGCTTTGATGCTTTATTTAGAATAACACATTACATCAACTCTCCACAAATACTAAGAACTTCAGAAGATCAGAAAATAAGGCAAATAGATGTATAGCAAGTCTGTGAAATGACCCATGTTACAACTCACTATTAATAAATTTAAAGTACTCCTGGGGGTAATACACCCTCAAAGTAGTGAGACTAATATCTGTATCACCAAAGGAATTTCAAAATCCTAATTTGAAAAAGAACTATTTTGAAGCAGCTTCACTTAGGATACTTTATTTATTTATTAGCAAGGGTAACATTCATCTTTTTAAAAAAGTAAATGATACCATTTACATTTTCTGTTATCAATACTTTAGGTTTTAACCCAAATTAAACTTAAAATTTATATGCTTTCAATAAAATAATACAAACACTAAATTACATGAACTAATGACATTTGTTGAATTCCAGTTTTGAGGACCTAGTTATCTGTTTAAGACACACGAATCAGAAGTACTGAACAAGGAATTGGATAATGTTTGGCTAAAGTGACGTATTGATGACAGTGTCCAAAGCTCCATTAATAATTAACTAAAAGAACTAAGCCAAAGACATGGCATTTTACAAACACAGATTCACAATTCACCATGCCCCCAAAACCCACCTTAGACAGCTCCATGCCGGGCCCGCAGGGCTTGCAGAGAACACAGTTCCCGGATCCATCTCTGAACTCCTGCTGTCTGCAGTCTCCGGTTTCAGAAATCACTGTACATGGCTGGAAAAAAAATTCCACCAAGTGTTATTGTAAAGTATGTTTACTGTATTGCTTGTGGGAAGGGAATCATGTCTTCAGTATCAGTCAGGTAACAGCTGAGCGTAAAGATCACTTGGATTATTCATTCCGTAAGCAGGGTCTCTATCTTCCTCTGAGACGCCCTGTGTACTCTGGGGAAAGGTGACCTTGCTGCTTTTATCTTTTCTAAGATGACACATGAAAGCACAGCCCTGCAGAAACCCAAGGTCCCTTTGCTACCTGCAAAATTCTGAATCAACAGAAGAAAGCTAAATACAAAAAACCTTTTTGATCTTCAAGAAATATAAATGTATTCAAGTGTAATAAACTGAGTAACTGAATCGATATAATATATTCCTACAGCCACAAGAATTTGCAATTATCCTGTAGACGTAAAGATCCAAATGGCTTTGATGGAGAATTTTCAATGTTTTTCATTTTATTACATCTACTTATCAGTTATCTTTCAAAAAATACTATTTCACAATCATGAGATGAATGACATTCTTGATGATGGCGGTGGTGGTGATGCCGGTGAGGATAAAAATCGTGGCCAAAATCTCCAAAATGCTTCAAAGCAAAAGTATAATGTGAATATGAATTTATACCCTTAACTGATTACCACCTGGCTATTTCCTATAGATTTTGATTCTTAGCATAGAACTTAGAAAAATTCCACTCTGACAAAACAAAGTTTGTTAAGTCATTTTCCCAAATAAGTTGTATTCTCTTATTTTAACTAAAACCAAGGCTCCCTTACCACTACCATAGAACTGGGTTTACCTGCTTCTTAATGGATGGCATTTCACCTAAGATGCTGATATTAAAGCACATCAAATTTGGTGAAGAGATTCAGTTTAAACTCTTATCCTAAATGCCCGGAGTACCATTACCAATCACAATTAAGTTCTCCTGAATGAAAGCTGAGAAACCCAGGAGGCCCTGCAGAGGCAGCCTGCTGTGTGCAACCCCCTCACACACTGCATGAAGGAAACTGTGATGCCCACCCTAAGAAGCAACAACAGATCACTTCCGCCTTGAGGCAAGAATCCATGTAATGGGTGTAATAGTATCTATAACCCTCCTTCAATAAAGGTAAAGCCTGAACCCCTTAGGGCAAATGGGAGAGAGAATTCAAGATGGGGACTCAGATTAGGACTAGACAAAGGGTGGGAGGTCCAGCATTCTCTTCCCTCTGGGCTCCTCTTGACTCTGAGGTGTCTGATTTTATGGAGGGGAAGAGTTTGCCTTCTACCGTACAGAGACTGTTATCTCTGATAAGAAACTTCACAGCCTCCCTTTTCGGTCACTTATCCAATGTTTAACATCTTTGATTACAGAAAAGCAAGATTCCCTTATATACTACTGACCTGGATTCCAATACGACCCCATTTCCACTTATGTGTCTTCCAGACTTAGTATAAATAATTCTCTATAATTGTAGGTCTTTATTATATCTCTATGTTAATAAATTTCTATTTCTTTTGGACACTTTTATAGATCTTCCGTTATACTTTGAAACAATACTTTCCACCTGTCTTTAATACTTTTGGAAACAAAGATGGGTATAAATAGCTATCAAAATAATAACTCTTAAACATCCATTCTAAATTCCTTATTAAATTTTAAGAGGCTCCAAATTAGCATCTATAATCTTGTTGGAGTCTAGGATGTGTTACGAGAAATATGTACCTATAAATCCATGATAATGTCATTACTCTAATGGCTATAAATAACAAGGAAATTTTATGACTTCATCTAAATTCAAATAAAGTAATTTCAACACTTGTTAAAAACACCACAGCTTAGCAATACTTTGTCACTTATTAAACACAAAAGTTACAAAAGGCAATTTGGAATGAAAAGTAATACAAGACCAAGTTTTCACTATGGTCTCAGGAAATACACGAGTTTACTTACCAGATAGCCTAGTAGAAGGAGAATAGTGAAGAATGTTTTCTCTTGTTCTTGTAGCACTTTGAAAGCCATTGCTCTTCTCAAATGTGTCCCAGCAGGGCTCTAAATCAGAGATAGGAAGGAAGTCACAGTCAACAGGAAAAGCCTTAGCAAACCTGCATTCACCTCCAATCTAACGTCTGCCGTTTTCTGGATACATTAGGAACTAAGTGTCATGTTTAAAAAGCAGACCTATAATGCATAATTATTTTAGACTTTAGGTAATGAGAATTGATACCTAGCTTATCTACACATTGCAAGCAAAATTCCTACTAGCTCTGAATTCTCAGGTAAACCTGCCTTTATTTTTCTACCCAAGTCTTCAGTATCCAGTCCACTTCATTCAGAAGGGAATCACATTTAACCAGTGACTTATAAATCTTCCATGTAGACAGTGCCAACAGTGATTTAAAAAAACCAAAACGCTTGCTTAGCACCTTCAGCAAAGAACTATCTTTAGCACACTGAGCCTCACAAGTACTCTAAAATGTTAATTCTATCACTCTGTCCATTTTAGAGATGGGGAAACCGAGGCTCTGAGAAGCTGAATAACCTGCCCAAGGTCACTTGGCTGGTAAGAAGCAGAGTTACGGCAACACCCTGGCAGGGTGGCTGCAGGGTCGGTGTTCCTGCATTTACTGTGTCATTTATACTCTGCCACTGGATGTGGTCTACTGAGTATAGGCACTGTGCTTCCACCCAGGCATAGTGTGCACATCTGTACTCCCAGAACTCCGGGAGGCTGAGGCAGGATGATTCCAAGTTCCAGCCTAATCTGAGCAGTTTAGCCATAAGCAAGACCCTGTCTCAAAATTTAAAAAGGTAAAAAAGGTCTGGGAAGTCCAGTGTGGAGGCTCTAGGTTCAAGCTTCAGCACAAAAATAAACAAGCAAGCAAGGATCTTGGGGCCTTGAACTCCACCAGGAAGCAGACAGCTGAGGTTTGGCCTGTGTGAATTCTGCTCTCAGGCAGCACAGCGCAAATTACTCACTGATAGAAAGTAAGCATCCATCTGAGGGTCGCAAGTGATGTAAAGGGCCGCGTGACCCCGCATTTTAATAGAACATAAACCCAGTGTCTCGGTTGACACCAAGGGGGGTTTAAAATGCAGCAACAAATCTGATTGTTGTTTTAGAGATGCACAAGGTCAGACAAGGAGATTTTTAAAAAATGGCTCCATCTATCAGGAACAAGAATTTAATCTCTTTTAAAGTAGAATCTTCCAAAATTAATAGAGACCCCGGACAGTAGATCATCTGATTAACACAGAAATCAAAGCACAGAACAAGAACGGTGGGCCAAAGGTGGGCCCAAGCGAAACAATAAGAGCCGCAGGAAGAGGGGTGCAGCGGGGCAGGGCTGCGCTGCTGCCTGGGGAGCTGCCAGTCTCAGGCAGCGGCTCTGGAGGCGCCCACCCCGAGGGGTCCCCTGCACAGGGCGGCAGGGACTCACTTGTCAAGGAACGCCCACTTTGAGTAAATTCAAGCTTTTTCGGTTTCTTAGTCATAGCTTTCCCCCAACACATGTCAAAGTCACCCAGCGACTGTCCAGCCTCACAGCTCACCTTCATGCAGATGAAGGGTTGGGGGCGGGTGGGAAGGCCAGGCACAGGTCTCAAATGGATGCTTCGGGTTAGCTGCTGCTTAACATGGCTCTCACTCTTGAAAAATGTGTTAATTTTCAAGAAGCTAAAAATGCACAATTTATATTTAATGGGCAAAAGAATACACAGGCTGAATAACCGTATTTGAAATGACTGGAATCAGAAGTAATTCAGATTCCAGATTTTCTTGGATTTTGGAATATCTGCATACACATAATGAAACATTTAGAGGACAGGACCCAAGTCCAACTACTAAATTCATTTATGTCCCATGCATACCTTACTGCCTGAAGGTAATTTTATATAGTATTTTTAAGCACTCTTTTCCTTTCCTTTCCCTTCCCTTCTCTTCCTTTCCCTCTTCCTTCCTTCCTTCCTTCCTTCCTTCGTCTTTTTGAGACAGGGTCTCACTATGCAGTTCAGGCTGGCCTTGAGCTCACTTTGTAGCCAAGGCAGGCCTAGAACTCTCTCGGGATCCTCCTGCCTCAGCCTAAGTGCTGGGATTATAGGTGTACATCAGCACACCTATCCTTATACAGTATTTTAAATAACTTTGGGCATGAAACACAGTCCCATACTGTGCAATTTTCCACTTGTGGCATCATGTTGACACTCAAAACAGTTCAGGTTTTGCAGCATTTTGGATTTTGCATTTGAGATTTTCAACAAGTCATACCAACCCATTGAGGCCAAGTAAGAGAAACAGAGAGTGGCAGAGTCTGCACACACTACAAGGGAGTCACCAGGGGGACAGAATGCTGTCCTGGAACCAGGCTGGCTCCTGGAGGAGAAGAGCACGAAGTGCCTCTTAGCAATGATGTGTGCAGACCACACATTTATAAAGAGGTAAACAGAACCCGTCTCATGGCGAGAATTAACTAGCCCAGTGCCAAAGTAAGAGCACCTCTCCCCAGGGACGGCTGCTGCTGCTTGTGGCACCGTTGTCATGGGAAATATCACCTATCTGTGCATAAACCCAAACTAGTCAGCCTAGAGTCAGCCTCCGTCAGCCTGGACCAGGTAGAGTGCAGCCCGGCTCCCAGACTGCAGCAGCGAGGATTCAGTGAGCTGAGGCTGTCAAGCACTTCCTGGAGAGTTAACGGAAACCACTGTCCGTGGCACACAGTAAGCGCTCTGTAAGTGTTAGGGACCCTGGACCTTCATACTATGACCTTCTTACTAGGACCAAAGGAGGATCTATCACGTCAAGCATCCTTGAAGACCACCTATACCTGACAAATGTGAGCCATTTAGATGACCACGATCAAGGGGCAGAAGTTGGTTCTGACCAGTACTGATGATCAGTAACCAACAAAGTCACAGAGTTTACCTACTACACCAGCTGTGAGCAAACAGTTACAGGGCCTGAGAGGCGAGCTTGAGGCTGGGGAGAAACCACAGAGGTGGGCCTGGGGGACCCACAGCGTGGCAGGGGTAAAGGTCCCCCCAGTACCTTTCAATATAGCCTGGGGAAGGAGCACTTTAGAAATAAACAGTTCAGCTGATGGAGTGTTACAAGTATGACCTTGACTTTCCTGGAATAAAATGAAGTTCTTAATGAATTTTTTTGGCATTTGTCAAAAAGAAGAAAAATTTAATGAAATGGCTTGTGTTTAAGTAATAATATTTAAAGTGAAAATAAGGCCATAAAAGGTTATTTGTTGACACTGCCTTTAAATTCTGGGCATTTGGGGGTCTGACCCAAAGACAGAAAAATGTTTTTGTATGTTTCAGAGTTCTATTTATTTGGAGATGATTTACTGAACATGAGAGATACCAACTAGCGTGATTACATACAACAGGTCATCCACTGGGGCTGTTAGTTTGCCGAAATATTTGGATTAGACACGTCCTAGCATCCAGAACCCACCCTCGCAGAAGGTGTGCTGAGAAGCCAGCCTCGGCTGAGCCCTTCATACAGAGAAAGCTGCTCTGCCTGGCTGACTGGACTCTAGAGGCCCAGGGTTGCTGCTTACCTGCCATCCCACACTGACAAGCAGGGGGAGAGATTGGAACTAGGGGAGCCCAGAAGAAAGGGACATCACCCACAGAAGGGGCACAGAGCTGCAAACGTCCTGTGGGGTCCCTGGCCAGTGGCTTCTTACCAAGTAAAGTGGCTCGGCCTGCTCCCTGGGGCATATGGCAACCAACAGGCCGTGTCCTGCTCCGCCCCCCCACGCCCAAGGGACAGAATCCAGCAGGTTCCATCCGTGAACATTGCTTGTGTTCCTGCGTCCAAAATCACGAAACCCTATGCAGGTGGCACTCTTTTATGTTTTTACCATGGCAGCATTGAACCTTTACTTCTCAATATTAAAAGTGAAGCACTTCCTAGACAATCTGGCAACTGCAGGATGCCATGCGAAGGCCAGGTGAGCCAGGGCTGAGCCCCTGTGTCCCTTACAGACGGACACACCGTCAGGGGAGCCACTCTCCTCCAGTCCCTGCTGCCCTACTGGACGCCCTTTCTCATTTTATCACCACGTGGCTGAGTTTTGACGGTGTCACATCAAAGACCCCGATTTCACCCAGAAGTGTAACTCGGCCAGGACGTACCTGGCACCTGCTAAACAAATGCAGAAATTCATTCATCAGAGACACTTTATCTCTTAGATTTGTAAGGGATGAAGCAACAGATGTGAAAAATGTACACATATTACCTAAGATCGAAATGTAAGTTACGGTGGGACCCCACGTCTTAGATAGAATGTTCTAGTGAAGGGCATATGTCTTTTGTCCAAAACACATGGGGCCAGAAGTGGTTTGGATTTTGAGCTTTTTCAGATTTTGGAATCTGTGCAGATACGTGATGATATCCTAGGGATGAGACTCAGGCCTACACATGAAATGCACCATGTTTCATATGTAGCCTGCCCACAGAGCCTGAGGGTAAATTTTAAATAAATTTGGGCATGAAATGAAATCTTCCACTCATGATGTCATGTCAGCATACTTTGGACTGTTTCAGATTTGGGGTCTTGGGGCTAGGGATGCTCAACCTCTATTGCCAAATACACAGCACTTTGGAAGGGGAGCTGATAGTTATCCTTCTAATTTTAACAGTAAATGATCTTTCCAAAGGTTATGTTCATTACATTTATTTTTATGAATGAGCAGAACATATGAACCTGGGAATAATTTGAACTAATGGAATGCTTTTTTTTAGACTAACTTATTTTGTTTTCTACGCTTTCATCTCTTAGAAGCTGTTTATTATCCCACAGAGGCAGGGAAACAGGCAAGAGATTTCATTTAGTAAAACTATTAACATTAGGTAATGAAGCTACCTACATTCAACTCCTGTATTTTTCCAGTATGTAATAAGCTGAAATGTTAAAGAAATGCATCAACATTCAAGTAAACTGGCAGGCTTACAATGTATAAAATCAGCATTGAAAAAAGGCCAGTGCTATACATACAGACTTTTACATTGTAATGGTGAAGCATAATAATTAATGACT